ACGCTGTACGCTTTAGTCAACTGGACATCATTATCAATGCGCAGATCACTGCACTGGTACAAACTCATCTATACCGCTATGCTTGGACTGCTGCCCCTCTACATATCCACTTACATATCACACAAACAGTACAGCTATGGACTACGATCTCAATACGTACGGTGCTTGTGAAAAAAGCCATGTACTCTGCCCCCTCGACCTGGAACACACTTCAGCAGGAACCAGTTTGATACCCATCACGGATTTTAAACTAATTTAAAAAAAGCTGGAGAAATCATCTGTGGGTGTTTGCACCTGCTATATCTGACTGTATGGATTTCAATGACTTTTTTTTTTACGAAGTTGTATTTGAGTGTTGCCTCTGTGTTTAGTGTCCTGTCTGTCTGTAACTTTGTGTGGTAGTGTTACCACTGACAGGTCTCTCTTGAAAATGAGACCTTGTGTCTCAATGAGATTTTACACCTGTATAAATAAAGGCTAAATAAAAAAAAAATATACACAATATGAAATGTTTGCAACAATAAACTTAATTATAGCATCTCTAATAACAAGTAAATTATTTAAATGATCATCTCCTTCTTTTTTAGCAGGCAATAACGATTTGTTTAAGAGTATGAAGTTCTACCCGATATAGTTTGGGGCTCATTTTTTAAATCCACCATATTTTTGGAGCTCAGTCCTTGTAAATCTTTTCCAGGTGACCTCCCTGAAGAGTCCTGCAGTGCTCATTGCCCCGGGCTGCAGGAGGCTCGCTCTCTGTCAGCCCTGACTCTAGTCCTCAGCCTGCAGACCCCCCCCCAGTCACACCCGTCACCCCCAGACCCGCAGCGGAATGGGATCAACACCGTACACTCAATCGTACACCTCCACTCAGACACAGAGAATTTATCATCAAAAATCTATTTATTTCCTGTGGAATCTTCTCTGCAGAGCCGTGTGACCTCTCTGCCCCGTGAACAAAATCTAAGGGGGTCTTCACGGGGGCCCCCGAGGACCCTGCTAATGCTAAGTGAGGAGAGCCACACTGAACCTGTGATTAATAACTCCTCGACAACAGTTGGCTTCACATGAGGAAGATAAAAACACATCGCACTTCCTCAAGGCCAATGTTGTCCCACCAAGCTCCGAAGAGAGGTGGGAAGGGGTGGGGGGTCCCACATCAGGACTTTTAGCATGAGTAAATGATCGTACAGACCCATCTTTAAGTGCATCATTACAACCGAAAAGTTATTATCCTTTTTATTTCGCATCGACCCCGCAAATGAGCCTTTAGGAAGCGAGTCAATATTTTCACGCCAAGACTTTCTAGCCTCTGACATCTCTTCATTCTCACTAAACTGCTGATTGTACAAAGTGCTGTGAAGCTTTTAAAACTGTGGGACCGATACTTTTAAAACTCTAGATCATGTGTTGCATAACTTGTATCCATACAATTCCACAGAATCCTCTGTGATTGAGTGTCAGAGAGCTTACAGGTGGCATTGTATGCAGCACGCAGACATGAGAATACAATGAGAAATGTGAGTGGAAGTGGTGTGTCCATGCTAGAATAGAAGTTGAAAGAGATGTGAAAGTCACCTCAATTCAAATTTTGATGTCAGTGGAAACAAGAGGGGCACTGTGGTCTAATTTTGTTCCTCTATGCTCTAACGCCTGCAGTGTTTAGCATTTGTTTTGCCTGTGGTAACATGGCACGATGCAGGAGACAGGCCTATGAATGAATGACACCCGTGGATTTTGCCTGGCTGTGGATGGTGTGTGAGGACGGCCGGGTTGTTGTGGCAGGTCTTTAATCTCAGACCCCTCCTCTCCCATTCAGGGCTGACTTGGGCTTGTGGTGCTAACTGGCTGTTAATTGCCTGCCTATACGCAAGGCTTGCTCCACATGCAGAAACTAGCTCCTTCAAGGGAAACTTCCCTAATGAGATTATCTATCAGAGCACAGGTCTGTCTAGACACCCCAATATACAACACCCCCACCTCCACACACCCACTGCTGCTGGCAGAAGCCTCTGAAGATGCCCTCAGGTAGAAGTTACCTGCAGAAAGGGTGCATGTTATCATTACACCATTATGGGTTTACACCCACTGCGTAATTTCTATTATGGAGAAGGCTGAGAATGTGGAAAAGTGTAAAGGTCATCGAATATTTAATTTTATAGTCTTTTATCCTATTTAATTTCAGAACAATATATTGGATACATGCAATCAATAGTTAGAATAATTGTTTAACTCAGGATTATATCTCCTATAAATGTTAAGCCAATTCTATTGTCATCAGTTTTCTTACAATTATTATATTGGGTATTTACCAGATTGCACAAACACACTAAATGCCATTTTGGTGTGTGGTTGTGTGTGTGAATGATATTTACACAGATTCTGGTGCCGATCTGCAGCAGGGAAGTGCGTCCATATTTGTTTTAAAGTCTCTTAGCAGTTAATAAAGATGCATTTCCTCCGTTCCCTCTTCCTGTGGGGACGGTATCAAGGCTCTGTTAAGTCTCTTTGATTTCCAGCACCCTCCAATCACAGCGGGGCTCTGACTCATCATTGTGCCACTTCAAAGCCTGGGAATGGCTCTCTTGACCCCACCCACCCCGGTACTCCCCTTAAAAGTCATGGTCATCCTCTTCCAGCAGGACTGATCTCTAATGTATCTGCTGGAACAAGACGGACCAACCTTCTGCCTCCCTGAGCTGCTGGATTTCTCTTTTTAACCCATGAGGCAGGACGTTGGTTCTGAACACACCGTTGGATATCACAAATACTTGGATTGCTTTTTGGCCCTCAGTGCAGGAACCTTTTTCAAGCTTCTCCTGTGTTTAACCTGAACAATGCAGTCCATCAGAGGTGAGTGTTTCTCGGCTTTTATTGGATTTACTTTGCTTTTCATTGAATTACTTCCTATTCCCCAGCCCGTGTGTGGTTTTGTCTTTAGCTGAGCATACCTATGGTGGTCTTCTATCACTTTTACTGAAGCATGTTGCTCTGTTGATTGTTATTTAGACTTGAAGCCCAACTTCGGCCCTCCTCCCCAGTCCATGGCTGCTGGCCCCGATACCTATATGCAGGGCAACATCAGATTGACTCTGGAGGACCCTGACCTCTGGAAGTCCTTCCATGATTTAGGAACAGAGATGATTATCACCAAACCGGGCAGGTAAGAAGACAGAAAAATTCAACTTTATGCAAAAAAGATTTGGAAAAAGTGTTTCCTGTTGCTGCATTTGCTTCTTTTTTCTCATGTGTCTTCTTCTGTGTTTTCCAGGAGGATGTTTCCACACTGTAAAATTAATCTAGCTGGCCTAATTCCATGTGCCAAGTACATCTTACTGGTTGATATGGTTCCTGTGGATGGTTTCAGATATAAGGTAAGATTTTTCTTTCTCTTGTGAATGTTGATATCAGTGATTTTAGTTGGCTTTTCTAAGAAGAGGAAGTAGCCCTGACTCACAACAGCCTTTGGTATTGGGTGAGGATTTCCCTCAGTGGTTACCAGTATCCCCAGACAAGGCATCCCCTGTTTATCACCCCCCTCTGTGCTGACATTGTACATCAAAGGGTGCTATCTCTTCCTGTTTTTCTATCCCCTGCTGGGAGCCCAATGTACTACCCCCTATCTCTCTGGGTGGTACTGGCCGGCAGTCACTCTCCCCTCTGTGGTGCTCTCACCCTGTGGGAAGGGAAGAAGACTTTCCCCTGTGACAGACAGACCGACTCACTATCTGTCTCCTTCCTTCAGTGGAATAAAGAGAAATGGGAGGTGGCAGGGAAAGCGGAGCCCCAGCCACCCTGCAGGACGTACCTCCACCCCGACTCCCCCGCGCCGGGGAGCCACTGGATGAAGCAGTCCGTCTCCTTCCTCAAACTCAAGCTCACCAACAACACACTCGACCAGCACGGCCATGTAAGTACACGAAGTGTGGTGCTCATCAACAGTGTATTTTCAAATCTATCTACACTGACTTAAAGGTTACCTATTGTGCAAAATTCACTTTTTCATGTCTTTTCTACATAAACATGTGTCCCCTCTGTGTAAAGAGATTCTCAAAATTTCAGGAAAAAATATTCTCTCTCTTTTTGTCCGGATCCATTTCTATAAAAACCTGTCTGAAAATGAGCTGATCAGATTTTGGCCACTTTGTGATGTCATAACAATTGTTTGGCTTGTGTAAGCATTAGCCAATCACCAACCAAGGTACCCCCCCCCACCTTATCACCTGAATCTCCTTCTAGAGCACCATTGTGTTCTTTTTAACCAAATATCTCTCAGAGGGGCGTGGGGAGGGGCTCCTTATTTTTCATCTAAAGTAACAGACAGAGAATCAGCACTTTTGAAACAGGGCTGAAACAGAGGGGATTATGGGATGCTACAATGCATGATCTGTTTGGTATTTCGAGCCAAACACTTTAGAGACATGTTTTGTATATATCTGAGACCTATAATATATTGATGAAAACCAGTATAATAGGGGACCTCTAAAGATATTTGATAATAAAGGACTGGCAACACTTACAAAATGAAGCTTAAAGTTCTTAAAAACATGAAAAAGTCCTCTGAATTAATCACGATCTTCCTCTCTGCAGATCATTTTGCACTCCATGCATCGCTACCACCCGCGCTTCCACATCGTCCAGGCAGACGACCTGTTCAGTGTGCGCTGGAGCGTCTTCCAGACCTTCACCTTCATTGAGACTTCCTTCACCGCGGTCACAGCGTACCAGAACACCTCGGTCAGTTTCTCTCCCTGCAAACACAAAACGCAAACTGCTGGCAGGACGCCCCACACATTACCCAGATTTTAACTGTTTTGATTTCCCCTCATACAGATCACAAAGCTGAAGATCAATCACAACCCATTTGCAAAAGGCTTCCGGGATGAAGGCACCAATAAAAAAAGGTGGGTGTCGCATTAGTCACAGGCTGTTGACCATTTTACAGATTTCCATAGCAGGAAACATTCTTTTCTTAATATTTGTATGGCTGTCATTTCTGTTAGAAGTAATGTTTACATTTGACTGATATTCCTCTGCAGGCGTTCAAACAAGAGTCCAGCCTGCCAGGAGAAACGAGCCAAGATGTCCGACATGTTGAACAGAGACTCTAAGGAGGACAGTCCACCAGGTACAGATTTGTGTTAATATGTGTACTCTTATGTCCTGTACTCTGCAGTAAACTAATTTGATGATTTGAACCCTCTCAGACTTCTGCCGGTCAGCGTACGAGGCTTACGACGGAGAAGAAGGAGACATGGCCAAACGGAAAGAGGCTGAAGGCATCAAACAGGAGCGTTACTCCCCCTGGGCCGTAGAGCGGGAGCACGGTGTGAGGACCGAGTCCCCCCCCGGGGCCGACCACAGAGACGTGTACAACACGGAGCAGCTGGTCCCTGCCCCGGCCTCCTACCAGCCCCAGAGGTACTGCCAGCTCTATCTGTCAAGCACTACACCTTTTACAGTTTATCGAGTACAGTCAAGGATGCTGTCTAGATGACCGAGAAGTAGAAACAAGACGGAAAAGTAAAAACTGCAGAAAAGACAAAAGTAAATTTAGCAATTTCAACGATTCCTGAAAAATAACAGTAAAATCATAAAAGATATAATAAACAATAGTAGTGGTCAAATATAATTAAACACAAACAAAATATTTAGATAAACAATAAAATAAATTAAAAAGTTGTACAACTTAAATACAATTAGTTTAAAAATGTGATAAAGTTATACAAACTAAAAGGAGTCATCGTTAGTTTTAAGTTTATGTTTTTAAGATTTCAACCCTTTTATAAGTTTTCACATTCCCAGACTGTTCCAACTAATCAGCAAATAAAACTAAGAGCGGACTCACCAAAGGTTTCAACATTCTACTTTTACTTAAGAAACATTGTGAACCTTCATTTTTGCATTTACTGTATTTTAACATTGTGGTATTGCTTAGTTGACCCAAGTAAAGGATCTGAATACTGGCTTAGTAAATAAATGGTATTACAATCCAAAAGTAACCCTATGTCAGGTCTCAAACACGTTGAAATAGAAACTGTGCCACACATAAGAGCATTGCGTTGTCCTGAAGAGCCGATACTGATCTCCTTTATTTTCCTCTTCAGGGTCCATGACTTTGGGAAGCCCCCCTCCCCTTCCCCCAGCGTGGGCAGCAGCCACAGCGGGTCAGGACACAGCAGCTTCGAGTCCCGAGTCCCCGACGTCGCCACGGTGCCAGACCACGACGCCTCAAAGCTCCGCACACACGAGGTGGGCCCCCCCCCCTGTGGCCCACAACCCCTCCCGGCCCCCCAGGACTACCCCGGGGTCCTCAACATGTCCATGGCCCACCAGGCAGGGAAACCGGGGGTGATCGGACACCACCTCTACAGTCCATACGGCCCCGAGCAGCCCCTGGGCCAGTGGAGCAACCCGGGCCCCACACAGTACCCCCCCCCTCACCACCTGACCGCCGACTACACAACGCCCGCTGTGCACCATGGATATCACCATGGCAACGTGGCTGAGTGGAGCCAGTACCCTCTGTTCTCTTACTCGTGCTGGTGAAGGATCCGAGGTGATAAGTGACTGATACCGGTGCTGATCCGGGGGGGTGCATGCCGACAAGAGGCCCAAAAAAAACTGATTTGAGAGAGGAATAATATGTTTGATGAGAGCGGCCGGACGTCTCCAGACCGACAGGATGCTGACTGAAACCAAAGTGTGCTACGCCATGCTGTTTAATTGTTATTATTGTTGAATTGTCTATTTATTTTCTATTTCATCTCATCTCCAAGTTTAAATATTATTTTTGTAAAAGAAAGATTAAAACGTGTGTGCAATTTATGTCTGTCTTCAAATTGTGATGTGATCTGAAAATAAAAACCTTAAAGTAACAGGATCAAATGTCTTTTCTGTGTTCTTTTTGAACCATTTGTATCTGTTATAAACTAAACAAAGCTAAAATATTATTTTAGAAGGCTCATACTGCTGCTTCATTAAATAAAACTAGTTTTCTTATCTACTGAAACAACAATTCAATTCAAAACCTTTATTTATTCAGGTGAAAACCCATTGAGATCATTGACCTCTTTTTCAATGGTGACCTGCTGAACAACATTTTAAACATAGTTGAATGGTTTAATACTTTCCATTTTACGTAAGTACATTGAAATAAATGTCTAGCATTATGTAATGCTCAGTTATCATCTCTAACACTTTAAATTCAACTGAAGTTTAAATCTTCCACTTAACCATGAAGTAGCACATTTCCTGTCTGTAGTTTAGTTTTTAGACTGTGTAAAGTGGATCCAGGTAGTTTATTGAATTAGTGTATTGTGGCAGTGTCTTGTTTGCGGCTGCACATCTGCATGCTTTGTACCCGTCACCTCTGATAAGCAGCACGTCCTTTCGGTGGGGTTTGTTTGTATTTCCTCTTTGTTGATCTAACGAGGGCCCCTCTGTAGTTTGGAGGGTCCCAGCAGGCTTTAAAGGGACTGTATTACTGTGACTGGGCTCACCTGCTGAGGTTTACCCACCGGTATCATAAAGCCCTGCATGACTCTCGTTCTACATCTCAATGAGCCCTTAAAAAGCTTGAAAACGGGGGGCTGTTGACACCTTTTCACAAGCTCAAAAACACAGGCTGGGCCATTCGACTCCACCCTGGGTGGATATGAGCTGCTAATGACTGTTGTAAAGTCCAGGGGAGGAGGAGGGGGAGGAGGTCATCCTTCAGGAACGAGGCTGACATGGTGTAGATTTTACTCAGAGATTCATTAAATTGGAGGTTGCTTGGACCAGTAATACTTTTCCAACCTCAGTGACCCCAGCTGTATGAGCACAACTCATTCACTCATTTTAATGAGGATGGGAAGAGCTATATATACTGTATGACCTATACTTATATGTCTGTAGACTACGGCTGCTGTGTTAGGACGTCACTTAATGATGTTCAATTTCAGACTTATTATTAGATCATACCTGAGGCCAGCTTTTTAGTAAAACAAAGATAATCATTATGTTAGGAATTGGGATAATTAAACCATCAAAGACTGAAAATCATAGAATTTTGCCCCAGGTTATTAGGGATCATACACGGTGACTGATATTTGTTTCCATATCATTGCAATTATCATTTGTATTTACATATCATTTATCATCTAAAATATTTGTCATTAAAAGAAAACACTGCCCTGCATTTTAACTTGCTTAAGGCCAGCCATTATGGTTTTATGGGGATTTGTTAGAGCCTGGTTCCACACCTGTAAGTCAATTCATCATTCCTCTAATTGAACTTTAATGAGTCACTTAAACATGAATGAATAAAAAAGACACACATTCGCATTTTTTTTTTAATTACAAGGCAATATTGCTTAGGTACAATATTATTGTTTGGATAATCTCTCCCTGTCGACTCAAACCTGTGATGAACATTTACAATAAATGAATATTTGATAAACTGTCAGTGGCTGCTGCATCAAAGGGAATATGAGTTGTTTTAAGATATAATGGATAGCTGAGCATAAGGACAAAGGGCAGTCGTTTGAAAGAGGGCTTTTTTAGGGGAACACTTTCTAAAAGAGGTAGGATGTCTGCTCCTTTTCGGTTAACCGCCATCTCCAGATCATGTTATGCTGATGCTGATGTGTGTTTATTGTATGTTATGTGTTGCATTGGTGCACAACACATTGTACTCACTGTCAGTAAATGCATGAAATGTGTTGCCACTGTTGCCGCTTCGTCACAGGGTCAGGGGTGCAGCTTCCTGCCTGCTCTAATAGATGTCCAAGAGGAATATTGTGTGTATTGTCAGCTGGAGAAAAGCAGCCTTTCAGTCCACAGGTGACTTCCTGTGTCCTCTGTTGACTTATTGCACCTCCTGCTCTCCCACACAGCAGGAGAAACAAGAATGAAAGTGAGCACTTAGTAAAATTCCCTCGACACACACAACCTCAACTCCACTGGGTTTAATCTGCATAGCTCCACATCAATGGTTATTGTGGACCTTTTATTTGCTCTGTTAATGGTCCAGCAAAGAGCAGCTCATCGACCTGCACTCAGAGGCCAGTATAGGGGGTAAGTGCATGACATATGTCCTGAGAATCCCCCGGGTGGTACTGCAGCGTCAGAATGAAAAGTAGCATAAAGGCAGCAGATTGTTGATCCTGGATGTCCACTGCTGCTGTCAGCACATCCCACCAGACAACTTAGAGGGGGCTGGCACTGTAGTGTGAACAAGAGAGAGGGGGGTAGGGGGGGCACACACTCACTTAGGGCTGGCAGGGGGTAACAGATGTAGATGAAACAGCCTCGGAGAGGAAAGCAGCAGTCAGCCTTCATAAAGCTGATGGAGCAGAGGGCCAAATGGAGAGGAACTGGGAGAGACTGGGAGGAATAAAAGACATGAGCAACGACAGGAAGACAGCCATCAGGAGACTTCTATTAAAACAACACTAACGTTGATTAAAGAGAACAAGTTCTAAACCCCGGCTAGGGACTCATCAAGGCTTCTAGTAACACCAAGACCCCCACCCCAAGGTGCTAGAGAAATGTTTGAGTTTTACATTTTTATTTCAGCCAAGAATAATTAGATGTAGCCTATGATGAAAAACAAAAGATACATGTAAGGAAGATAGGAGGCATCTGCAGATTACAAGGGTTATTTAATTGTCGGGTAAGAATAATAACATTACAGGGTTTTACAAAATATTTGTTAAACTTTGAAGCATTTTTAAAAATATATAAATATGTATAATATTTGAATATATATATTAAACATATTTTTTCTTTGTATTGTAATGTTTTTAAATGCATATGTATGTCAGAGTGGCCTGACCCCACTTTAAGAACCTAGTCCAAGATTATTTGATTTACCTGGTAGGCGGTTCATTTAAATGTCCTGTCCTGTTAGTTGTGTATAGTTCTTAAAAACTATACACAACTAACTGTCTGTCTGTTTTCTTCTGTACAAAGAACATATTCCAGGAAACAGTTTTGTAAATAATTAGCCAATAAAGTGAAACATTGCCTTTGTATTTGTTTAACGTGATGCCTAAAAGGTGTTCCAAAGTTCTCTAGGCGCTGCCAGAAATACAATTGTGTTGGAAAAATAATTAGCTCTTTCATTTTCATTGTTGAAATAAAATAGTCAAATAGCTTGAAATGATAGATTCAATTAATAAACACCATGTGACTTTAACGCTATGACCCAAAAACATGACAAAATACATACATAGCTACCTTTACTACATCTCAAAACTTATGTCATGAATGTTGTGTTAAGATTGCATATCTTGTGTGAGTGTGTGTAAAAAGCATTTCTCTTTCAGAAGGAACAGTCTCGCACCTGGTGTTTTTTAATGACAGAAGTTAAGGATTCACAGAAGCTTCTTAAAGTTTGTAATAAACAGCGTAATGAAGAACTGAGGCCTGGAGCAAAGCTGGACTGAGTGGATGGAAATATTCTCAAACCTCTCCTCATTGTGCTCTTTGGACTCAGTACCAGAATAATGTATACAGTATGGAAGATCATCAAAAGGACTTTGTGTCACACACAAATCAAGACTTCCTGAATCATTCACAGACATGGCAGCATATTGTGAGCTGCACTCTACAACCTGGAAGCGTTCACTAGTCATGTTCAAGCGTTATTTAAACTAATAATGAGGCTAGAGGCAAAGTAACTAAGACTCAACTCCATCCACACATTATACTGAAACATAAAAATACACTACACAAGTGGAGGATCCACAGAAACAAGGCACAACCTAAGGATTACTCAGTAGTTTGGATGAGAAGATAATTTCAGTTTCTGCCGATAACCAGAAGCTGCAAGAAGAATTACAGTTTGCATATTTGAGAAGTCTTTTTGAACTCTCTGTGGTTACAAATTGAGCTTAAAAGTGCTGTAAATGTCTGAAGTCTAAAGCCAGTTCAGGCCATATATATATCAGCATATTATTGCACAGCCAGTGGTCTTGACTGCCTTCTGTATATTTAAGATATTGAGGTTTTCTCTATGACAAATAAAGAGAGCTATTAAAAAGGTAGCTACAAGGAAAGTGACAATCTTGAGCTTGGATTCATGGGCGGGGCATGATTATCTTAAAAGATATTTGCAAAATAACAAACAGTGTGCAAAGGTCCCGAGTGACTCTTTGGTTCAGAGGCACTCAGTGATCGACGTGCAGGAAGGACCCGATGCTGCGCAAAGAAAACCCCCCCCCCAGGTACTTTAACATGCTGTGTAAGAAAAAGTGCATGACAGCGTCCAGTGCTCAGACAAACAGCTGCTTCAGTCCTCACTCGAGTCCTCCGAGTTGTCCATTTCCACGTCTTCCCATGATGCCTTGGTGCGCTGCTCCCAGCTCCGGGCCTGAGCGACGACAGCAGGGGGCATGAGCACCACGCAGGCTGCCAGGCCGGAGACCCGCTCCTTGAAGTCCGCCTCGCCCTCCCACTCGTCTGCGTCGCTGTTGAACACGTGGATGTATTTCATCCTGTTGCCTTTGTCGTGAGAGCGGCCCCCCAGGACGTAGATGCGACTGTCCAGCACGGCGATGCCCGGTTCTCCGTGTCCCGCGGGGAGGGGGGACATTAAAGACCAAGAGTTGGCCTCAGGGTCAAAGCATCCCACCTGAAAAAAACAAAAGACAGGAAACAAATGAATTTCCATTTTATAACATTTCTGTCCAAACAGTTTAACCTCGGTCAAAAAGAACAGCTCGGATTGTATTCTTATTAATTATAATATTTCACTGAGCCAACACCAGGGAAGTCAACTATACTAATATTATTTGTATTTGTTTGTAAGATTAAAGAAAAATGTGTCTCTCAAAAAACAGAACAGGTTGCTGTCTGCTAACACAGTGAATACAACGACTGCACTAAGACTTCATTCCTTTTTCATCCAGATATCTTTTTCAATAACCTTGTTCTTTTTCTTACCTCTAAAAATGCATTTACTTGATACTTAAAATAAAAAATTAAACAAGTAACAACATTGTGTCTGATTCTTTTATTTTATTTATCTTGTCCGATGAAAAAACATAAACATAAAAAACCCAGCATCGGCTATAGTAAAACCCATGATGGCTGAACTAGCTTGGGGGCATTGGAGACATAAACAACGTTTTAATATAAAATCAAATGGAAAAGGACACAAGAAATATGTCATAGTCAAGAACATCTCTGAGTGTTCAAATGTAAACAGAAAACCCTCAGGAGTTATTTTAAACTGTGAGACGCCTGCTGAGCAGAGCAACACTGCCCTCATTGTGCAGCATCAAACACCCCTGACGACCTGAGACTCACCTTCAGGACATCACGCCGGTACCCGCGCTCATCGTTGCTCCCCCCAATCACATAAATGCGTCCGTTGACAGCCGTCATGCCGTGCCACGCGCGCTCCACCGGCCCCTCAGCACACGCTGACCAATGATTGGCCCCAGGGTCAAAACAGTAGGTCTCTTTGAGGTACGCATTCCCTCTGCGCCCACATGAGATATACATTTTCCCATCAAGCACTGCTCCAGCATGGGCGTAAACCTGGAGGACAGGTCAGACTGGTATTAAATTGAGTTCAAAGAGGAGGGAAACACCTGGTTGGTAACAGAAAACTCCATTAGGACAACACAGGTGGGGAGGTAGCACCATCATGTGGATGGGAGCAGCATTACATGCATGTTTTCTATCGGCTCTTTTTCCTTACCTCTCTCTTCAGGGGTGATACAAACTCCCACATGTCAGTGTGTGGGTCGTAGCGCTCCACTGACTCCAATTCGCTGCTATAGTCCCGTCCTCCAATGGCATAAATATGGCCGCCCATCACGCAGACACAGTGGTCAGCATGCTGCTGCTGCAGAGGGTGGATCGCGCACCATCTGTTGTGACGAGGGTCGTACCTGGGAACACGCATCAACACAGTGAAGGATAAATCAAAACTTTTCAAATTCAATCTGCAGCGAGAAATCCGTCCAATCAAGCATTGGGAATACAAAATAGATTTGTTGTGGAATGTTTGATGCCATGTTCAACACCACCAAAAACAACCCTTTCCATTTTGTGGATCTGAAGAAAAAAGTCAGCTCAGTTGTTTATTGATTCATATTGATAGTGATTTTAAACGCCTCACAAACACGGGTTCCAGCTTCTAACATGTGAGGATTTTCTGCTTACTGTTTGATTTGACCAGTGTAAACTGAAACAGCTGCTCAGACAAAGCATGCAATCTGAGAACATGTCGACATTTCAAACTATTGTCTGACATTCTACAGACTGAAGAAAATCAACAAATCAGGTTGGCTTACATAAGAGCCAAAATGAGCTTATTGCAAATACACCCGTATCTGCAAATGTGTCAGACTGTCGGACGATATGTAAAGAGTGATTGTAGTTTAGAAATACCAAAGATATGTTTGCTGTGGCTGAGCTCCAGTCAGGGACGCCATATACGGTTTGTCCACTAGAAAGGACTGGCTTAAGTTTTAGCTGTAAAAGGTTCTGCTCAATACATATTATATATTTAGTATACACTACAACTAATCGATTACTTGATCTTATTGAATAGTTTCAACTGTAATAGACAATAAACAATAGTGGTTGGTGGAGAATATCCATTTATATAACAATCAATATTCTTGTCTAGGTAATTGTCTACAAAAGTACCAAGACATTTCTTCTGACGAACAGATATCCTAAAAAAGGAAAAGTCACACCAAAGACCCATTTAGAAGTTTGAATGATTCTTGGAAATAAAGAAGGCAGCTATCCTCAGCCTAAACGTTTGGTTTATTTAACAGGCAGCATCTTTTTTTTGTAAGATTTGAACTCTGAACTCTTAAGATAACTGAGGACTTTGTTGTAGTGATGCTAACTTTGCACAAAGTAAATACATAAATAAATGTTACCTTTTGTCTTAGGTTTGATTTTGTGTGTTTTCAATTTTGCAATAAGTTAATAAACCTTTTTCAAATGTCCAAACTACAAAACGTATACACTTTTGACTCTGCTTTCACTCCATGCCACAATGCCTCTACCAGCACACAGCAGACTGGAGTAGCTCCTGAAATTAGCAACCTTATGAACTGTAATGAGAATTGATTTTGAACCGCGACCCCAAAGACGTGAAATGAAATGAATTCTTACCAAAAATGACCATCCCTAAACAATAAAAACTTTTTAAAAAAGTTAAATTGATGAAGTGAATGAGTGTACATTAGGGCTGCACGATATTGGAAAAAACTGACATTGCGATATTTTTTTTTTCCCCCTGCGATATATATTGCGATATGAAAAAATACAGGAATTGAAGAAAAGACAGTTTTTTTGTCCGCAAACCATCCTTTCTTAAACTTTAATGCTATACAATTGGTATTTTTCTAACTATATTCAACCGGATGAAGGATTTTAGTGACGGACGTCTGGATCTTAAGTTATCAGAGCAACAAGCTGAGCTAGCTCGGTTAGCAGCGCCGAACTGCCCTGGAGAAACACATGGAACTACTTTATTCAGTGTTTTCACCTTTAGTCACCGGGTCCGTTTGCTTTGGAGAGTTGATAGCCTGCATGTCACTCACTCAAGTACCCCAGACATGAGAGCCACGTGAGTTTTCCTTTTTGTAGCAAGCAGCAAAAGAATTGTAACATGACGTGTTTGAGTTCATTTGCCTACTTAATATCGCAAGTACTAAAAAAAAATACTAAAAGAAATACAAAAATCGAACGTCCTGCGATGTGAATATCGTGTAGCCCTAGACGTGGTGATCCTAGATAGAACATCATTTAAATCCATCAACAGAATAAGGGAGATCTCACCTCCAGCAGCGGGTCTCTGCGCGGAACCCACTGGTGTTCTTGTCTCCTCCGATCAGATAAACAAAGTTGTTGAGCACCACGATGCCCTGGTTGGACATGCGGGGGCCGTGGTCTGCAGTGAGGGTCCTCCACTCCCCCCAGCTGGGGTGGAACACCTGGAACAAATGCTCGTTGTCTGTGAGGGAGCTGGAGGTGAACATCCCCCCGAACCCCAGTATGCAGTGGAAGGTGGAGCGAGGCTGGGTGAGGGGGGTCTGCAGGACGGGCTGCCAGACCTCCTGCTCATGGTACCGCAGGGCAGAGGACACGCAGTCCTTCAGGGGACACTGGTTCAGTCTGCCGTACAGACGCTTCAACACTTGTTTCTCAATCAGGCAGAAACGCACAGTGTCGATCATCTTCAGATTGTCCTTTGGGTCAGAAACATCATAAAAAGGTTGGATTGGTTGAGAACAGAAACCAAAACCTATCTTTTTTAATATGGCTTTTGATTTGGGTTAACTTTCAATTCTCACTAGTATCATTGTGCATGTTTTAATGTATTGTTTCTGTTGCTTTTATTTTTACATTATTTTATTTGAATTTCTTAGGATCACTGTAGATGTTTTATCTTGTTCTGTATTTATTTTAATATTGTGTGTTTCCTGTAAAGCACTTAGGGATGCTTTGTGTATGAAAAGATGAAACAAATAAAGTGTATTATTATTATTAGACTGCAATCCAAGCAGATTAAGCTTTGTGAGTATCTGATGGAAATGATAGATGAGTACAAAATGCAGGACACACCTTAGGACTGACCTGCAAGTACACCTGGTCAGTTTCCACCTGCAGGGGACTGTAGTGGAAGTGCAGCGCCGCCTCGTACGCCTCGTTCTCGCTGTTCACCTGCAGCTCGTCACTGCTCAGCGCGCTGAACACCACGTCCTGGGGGAGCTGTCGGTACACGTCGGTGCGGGACAGAGTCTGGATGTTCTTGAGCATGTAGGAGTGGACCCTGGCACTGAGCTGCTGCAGTCCGTACAGATCTGCCAGGTTATAGACCTCCAAAATGTTGCTCTCGTCCAGCCAGGAGAAGAGGAAATCGCAGCAGAAGCCAGTGACAACCTCGAGCTTCAGAACACAAAAGGGACACAGGTAAGGTGAAGAAAAAAGAAAAAATGTGATTAAGCAAGAGATATTTTTTTTTAAGAGTTTACCTGTACTAACGTGGCAGCTATCAGGACTTCCTGCACACACTCCAGGTTTAACTCAATCTCCGAAGTGTAGATGTAGTCCAGTATTTTTGTCATGGCCATGAAAGTGACTCCATGAATGGGGATCTCTTTTTGCTGCGTCTCCCGCAGGCCTCCAGCAAACATTCCCCTATCGGAGAGAAAAGACACACATTGTTTAATATAAGAACTGTCCAATAAAGATACAAATATGAATAGAAAACGTTTATGTTAAGCCCAAAATCAATTGAGAAAAGGTGTATGTACTCTATCCAAACCATTTAAAACACATCTTTGTTGAATATACTTTAAGTTGTTTCCCTTAAACTGTGAGTAAAAGCCAGAGCCAACAGAGTGAAAGCATCTTTGTAAAGGGAAGTTAGTGATCTATCTGTACCTGCTTTTAGCATGTTAATAGGATTACAGGGATACAGAGCAACAGTAGGGCTCTGGTTTAATGTCACAGTGCAAACCCCAGAGTAAAGACTTCCTCCACCCCTGCCAGCACAGTAAGCTCCAAACAAATTAGAATAACACTTGAGTTCAAATCCAACACACCTATCTGTCCTCCTCGTGTGTGCTGCTGGCTGACTGTGGACCTATATTACCTCTGTGACCCCCATGTCATCTGTCTATAAAAGCTACAAGTGAAGGTTTCAAATGCTAACACATTAACATGACATATAAAGTACAATTATTGAATGTAATACACTGCAAATAGTTGTCTATATGATTGTGATGTTATGTTAAATGTTTGTTTTTCTTGTATTGTGTCCTTAATAATACTTGGCCTTGTTGATGTTGCAAATGGAGCTGCTGTGACGCAAGTCAAATGTCAGACTTTATCAGACCATTAGAGTACTATCTTATCATATATAAGACACATGAATCTCACATCAAGTCTCTTGTTTTTTATTTCACAACACTGGCATTCAAAAGGCAACACCCATGCCACAAGCCAAGCCAAGTCAGTGTCCAATCTTCTTTTAGGATGTAAGTAGACGCTATAAAAAAGACTACAGGTGAGTAACTGTTTACAACCAACCTGTTTTGATTTGCAGTGGCAGTAGAAACACTTTAACCCACGCTTTCTTTTTTCGTCCACACATTTTCGTAATTGACTTTATTCTTTTCCAATCGTTTGGAATGTAGGGATGTTTTGAGATATTTTACAATGTGGAGAGGATAATGTTTTCATCAGTGTGCTGTAGGGCTGCTCAATTACTCGTATTTTAATCGCAATTACGATTTTGGCTTGCAACGATTATGAAAACATAATCTAAATAAAACGATTTTTTAATTATTATTTATTTAAAAAGAAACACATTTTTTTATTTTTTTTATTGGTTTTTCAATTGATTTATACTTAAAGTTCAGGGTAATCAACTGTTAAAAACATACTAGACATTTTTCTTTTTCAATAAATTGATGTTTTTAAAGTTAATGGATAATCGTTTTTTAATAATCGTGATATCAATTATTGACCCAAATAATCGAGATTAT